AAGTCTTCTGGAATATCAGCCAGATACGCTAGCCAGTCAGCGGTCGAATTTTCCCGTCGGTATGCAGGCCCTAAGAATCCAAGATTGATGATGCACCGGGGGCAGAGGACGACTTATGGTTTGAGCTTTGGCTTAGCGGTAACGACATGCTAACGCCGAGACAGGACAGCCTGCATATCAGGCTGATGTTTCGCGCGTCCTGCTCAGGGATCTGTGGTTCTGCAGGGCCACTACAACCGACAGGTTCGCTGCCGTAAATCCCAACACAACCTTTGGCAGCGGGCTCCACAGCCGTGCAGTGTGCCTTATCGCTGTTTCACAACGCCGGCGGGTTTCTGATAGACGGCCACTACACAAGACAAGACGTGTTCAAGATACACACTGCGTTATGACATTGCTCCTATATCGCATCTTGCGTGTGCACGTCCCGGAGCTATACGGTGTTGATCCGGCAAAACGAGTCTAACAATGCTTGAGTCCCCAGATACTAGCTCGCTGGGCGAATAACAAGAGCTCCCGGTCGTGTACCCACAAGAAGATCTAGCCTCATATATACACACAGAGTAACGGGATAAAGAAAAGACTACGCGAGGCCTACCGTACCAAGTAGCTCTGGTCGCGCATCCCTATCCATGCTCGTCCCGCCAGTTTGATACGCCTAGCAAATGACGTGGAACCTTTGAATCTTCCCTCATGCGATGCCATTATCTCGCCGATGCACCAACCTGAGGCAAGCCCAGCTTGTGCCAGGCCACCGTTGATCGAAATGGGCCTTCTCAACAACTATATCAGCCTCCACGCTCCCGTGGGGTGGGCTTCTGTTAGCTATCTCTTCCTCACTTCTTCCCGCTCCATTGCCACCATCCCCCATACTACCAAAATTTTCTCGTAATGGCTCCCTCAGCTCTCGCAGATATCTATCCAATCCCAACGAGGCACTACTCCAAGTCCTCGACTGTCGTAGCTTCGGTCTTACATGGGCCAAGGGATTTGCGGCTCGTATGCCTTCCAATTTCGTTACACATCCCACGTCTACCCACTACTCGTGGGGGTTTTGGTGTATATTGAGCATCTAAACGTGAAGCTAACGAATCCAATTAGGAAACTCGTACCATTACGGATCCCGCCGCCAATGAACTCCAGATCGCTATCAAGGCCACTGGACTGTGCGGAAGCGATTGTTCCTACTACAGCAAGTTCTGCAACGGTGATCTGCAGGCTTGCGAGCCGTTGTCACTAGGCCATGAGTCTGCTGGGGTTGTGGTTGCCATCGGCGAGAGTGTTACCGGCTACCAGATTGGCGATCGTGTTGCTCTGGAGGTAGGTGTGCCGTGCGACAACTGCAGGTCATGCCAACGGGGACGCTACAATCTCTGCCCGAAGATGAGGTTTCGGAGTAGCGCCAAATCTGTGCCTCACTTCCAGGGGACGCTTCAGGAACGCATCAACCATCCCGCGAAATGGTGCCACAAGTATGTCGTGCATGATCGACCCGAACCCGAACTTAGCTGACAACTTAAATCAGACTACCTTCGCACGTCTCCATGGAATCGGCTGCGCTTCTGGAGCCTCTTTCTGTTGCGATCCATGCAACAAGAAGAGCCCAGATCGAGCAAGGTGACACGGCCATTGTTTTTGGTGCAGGCACAGTCGGCCTTCTGACAGCTGCGATGGCCAAGGTGTCTGGCGCCACAACCGTTGTCATCGCAGACATCGACTATGGGCGAATCAACTACGCCTTGGCGAACGGCTTCGCCCACAAGGGCTATATCGTGACCCCACAGAAACATGGCAACGAAACTGCTGAGAAGTTCGCCGTAGCCAAGGAGTTGGCTGCCGATGTTATGCAGATTGCATCCCAGAACGAGCCAGACTTTGAAGGTGCTGATGTCACCTTTGACTGCACTGGAAAGGAAATCTGCATGCAAGCTGGACTATACGTAAGTCTCTCCAGGAAAAAATCGCAAACCTAATCCTAATTTCTCGTAGGCGACAAGGCCTGGCGGCAAGCTCATCATGGTCGGAATGGGTACGCCAGTTCAGACACTACCCATGTCAGCATCTCATCTGAAAGAGGTCGACATCATTGGCATCTTCCGCTATGCCAACACCTACCCCACTGGTATCAAGATCTTGTCTGCCGGTGTACTTCCGAGTCTTGACAACATGATCACTCACAGGTTCCATGGGTTGACGTCGACAAAGGAAGCTTTCGAGCTCGCGGGCAAGACGGTCGACAAAGACGGCAAGCTTGTTCTCAAAGTCCTCGTGGAGATGTAAAGAAGCGAACGGCCCAGGAAACCACTAATATGTACATTGAATTGTGTGGCATTCATAACGACATGATAGAAACGACATAGAGAGATCGTCCGAAAGGCGGCGACCGCGGTCAGGCGTTTTGAAAGTCTGGAGCAAGACTAAGATACCATTCGCTTTTGGGTTGGGTTGGATTTGGAGTTATGGAGTGTATTTGGCGATTGACGCAAAGATCTGGAGGCTAGGCCTGACCATGAATGATAATGCCATAATCGTACTCCGATGATAAACGCTCGCTCCGGTTCGTGATCCTTGATTCTGAAGTCTAAGAAAGAGGAGTGTAGTGAAAGCTGGATACCTAGGTAATGACGGATCTTTCCCGTGGAAAGCGCGTCGCGCTGGAGTCGCGTTGACACTAGCGCTGAACGGGTAGCGCCTTGGCACAACCCCACGAATTGTGGCAGCTGCAGCCTAAGCAAGCTCCCCACCAAGACCATATCATTGCAATTGCCTTGCTGCTCGAACACCACTCCGACCTCCTACCACTATCTCGACCATCGTGAATATCCTGAACGCGACACCGAACTACACTGCAGCAAATATGGCCGAATCATCAGGAAATCCACTCGTTTCGACCACCCGCGCCTCTGACGCAAGTCCGACAGTACAACTTCACCCGCTGGTACTCCTCACAATAACAGACTGCGTAACACGGCACACACTACGACAGCAGACAGGACCAGTAGTCGGAGCCATACTAGGCGCGCAAGATGGTCAGAATATCACGATGGAGGTTGCTTTCCAAGCAAAGCTCCTACCAAACCAAGACGGAGAGACAGTACTAGACGACGAGTGGTTCAGCAAGCGTATCGAAGACTGTAAGTTCTCGTCTATACCTTATATTTACACAACTGGATGAAGCTAACCTGAGTGTAGTCAAGGACGTACACAAGGAGCCACAATTGGACATTGTAGGCTGGTTTACCCTCGGTCCCGCCTCCGGCCCAGAACCCCACATCCTTCCTATCCATTCGCGCATATCAGAAGTCTACACCGAGTCTCCGCTGCTCGTACTCTTCCACCCTGAAAATGCTTTCTCCAAAGAGACTGCGGCCGGAAAGCTGCCTCTCACCGTCTACGAGTCCCTCTCCGTCAACACAACGAGCGATCCGAATGACAAGGCTATGGATATCGACGGGGCTGTACAGGCGAAGTCAACCAAGTTTAGAGAGCTAGTATACTCGATTGAGACTGGCGAAGCGGAAATGATCTCTGTCGATTTCGTCGCGCGGGGTGGTGGCAACGCTACTGCAGTAGAAGGCACAGCAAACGTGGCCGGTGCAGCGCCGGAGCCCTCAAGAACCGATGAGGTTACTGGGAAGCGGAATACACGAGGAAAGCAAAAGGAGAAGGAGAAGGAGAAAGAAAAGGATGCGCCCATCGACGAGTCGGTCATCTTGAACGCCGACGACGAAGAAGGTAGGTTCAGCGACCTTGAATCTCACTTGGTACAGACATACTGACTTTAATACAGTTCTCTCTTCGCTTACAGCCAAGATGAACGCCATTCGCATGCTCAGCCGACGAATCATGCTCCTACGCGCATACATCGACTCGCTCCCAGCTTCGTACCTCTCCGACCCGTCCCTACCAGTCAACGCCGCGCCAGACGCGCAACATCCCCTGCCTCTAGACCACTCGATTCTCCGCAGTGTATCTGCCATGCTCGCCCGCCTGAATATCCTCGGCCCGCCAGACTCAGCCGCTTTCTCGCTTGAGTCCCAGCAAGAAGCATCGGATGTGCAACTAGTCAACCTGCTATCATCCATTACAAACTCCGTCTCTCTAGCGAAGGATCTCGGCCGGAAGAGCTCCATCGTCGAACATGCCAAGACCCAGGGCAAGAACCGCATGGGCGGGTATGGCGGAGGTGGCAACTACGGCGGCGACGCCAACTTCTTCAATACTGTCATGAGCGGAGATTCTGGTGGCGACAGGTGGTGATCCCTGTCGACCCACCAGCATGAATGAACGGGTACGTTGGAGTCTACATTGGTCTAGAAACGAATATCCTGAGCTAACGCAGACTTCTAGGCCATTTACGTTGCTGATGGTGCTCTAGATCGGCAAGGCGACGGAGCGTATGCGTGATGACTGACGGCCGTCATCCCCATGCGCTGTTCGATCCAGACGATATTCCCGACAACTTCGACTGGGAATTTGTCAACCAATGGTATCATGCCGTGTTCGCGATCCTCAGCATGGGGCCAGCTTATCTGCTCTTGTTTATAGTGAGCCCGATCATGTTCCCACTGATTATACTCGGGCTATGTTACTGGACAGGGTGGGGGACGTATCGGATCGTACGCAGATTGGGTCTGGCGACCTTGCACATGCTGGGGGCTGTTTTACACGCTTTACGTGATCTGATGCGTTTAGCTCAGCGATGAGATTTATGCATAGCGTTCGGCGCATGAGTGGGATTTGATAGACATGGCTATGAATGGCAGTGCGTAATGGACCTGCCGGTATATGAGTAATGAAGAAAGGTACATCCATTCACACCAATATCCAGAGCTTTATGGCGCCTGGATCAAGGGACATTTTGACACGCTGAAGCCTACATTGACGCTAGAGGTTTCTGATCTGCTTGTTTTGTCCTGATGTAGGCTGTAGACCTGTTCAGTATGAATTACCAATGAGACGTAGCTCCCAATGCATCGGCCCTTGACGACCTTTGACTCTTATTGAAACCACCCGTTGCCTCCTACTCCACCACCACCACCACCACCTGCCCTCACCATCTGGGGTTCAGCAATAAACCTCCCATCTGGTCCTTCGGACGCTTTCGCCTCCCACCGCGAAATAAGGAGCAAGTCACTGTAGTACTTGTTCTTATTAGCATCTTCTTGTAGTCGCTTTTTGAGAAACTTGCGTTGTTTGTTGTAGGCTGTGCGTGTTGAGTTGGGACTTGGTGGTGTTGTAGGTCGAGTGGGTGTCGATGGTGGAGTATGAAGAGCGTCCGAAGGACCATCTACCCACATGTGAGGCGACTTGGTCGGTGTGCAAGGGGTTGAGGGGGTTGGCGTATCCTGAGAGATGTCGAGGCTGCGAAGTATCAAGTTCAGATCCTCCATTTCGGAGTCTGATTGTCGTTGTGGCTCCGTGGACTCATTGACGACTGCCCAGAATGCGTCGATCATGAGTTCTTTCTGCTCCTTCGCATGTTTCTGTTCCATACTGAGACCATCCATGCTGATTTTCGAAAGCGTGGATGACGCTGAGGCTTCAGGCCCCCATGCGATCAGATCGTTACCGTCGATCTGTAACGTAGTGTTCTCTTCTGGAGATTTAGCAATCATAGGCATCCCGCCCTTCTCACTGTCGCTGTCGTTGACGTGATCGTTGCTTTCCCAGCTCCAACCATTCTGGTCGAAGTCTAAATCTCCGGCCGTGGGTTCCATCTCTTCTGGTGTAAAGTGATTGAAGATCCAGCTTCCATCGTCGTCATCGAGCGGGTGCGAGTAGTCGGTACTGACAGGGTGAATCGGATCGGTGCTCGCAATATAGTCGCCATCGTAGTCGTTCGCATCCATTTCCCTCCAGTCCTTGTTGTGCTTCTTCGGATCGACGACGTCTTCCGGTCGTACTTCCTGGGTCAGGGGCGAGCGAGCCGTCTGATGATAGGTAATGCTTACCCGAGCCACGCTTTTCTTAAAAGCGTGTGAGGGTATCTGCATGTTACGTGCATCCCAGGAAGCTACATAGTACTGCTCTTCAAGCTCCTTGACTAGAGCAGTGATGTCCTCCACTCCATACATCCGCTTCTCGATTAATTTGATTAAGAATGCTCTCGCCCGCCCTAGCTTTGACTCCCACTCGCTCTCCCACAATTTGTGCTCGCACGGACTGCAGTCGGTCTGAAAATATATAGTGAGGAAGGATTCGGCAGTACAAGCAGCTCGAATGCTGGTTCTCGTCATCTTGTGTTTCGTACCCTTGCAGCGCGACCTTCGTAGACGTAGTAGATGCTGGCATTTGAAGAAGAAGTGAATGACGTTGCACATGGTCGGCAAGTATTGTGACTGAAGATGGAGTCCTGCCTTCGTGTACGAACGAGTTGAGTTGGAGATCCCTGTGGATGTATCGTTCAGAACGGCATAATGATATAGACGTCTCGGCGGGAAAAATAGAACTTGCACAGCTCGGTGTTAGCTTCCTTGCACGATCATGTCGGAGGCATAGCTCTCACAGAGTCGGTCGTGGTATGTCGTCAAATCCAATGGGAGCTGCACAGGGATGGAGTATATGATGTGTCACCGATTCCGAAGCAAGTACCTAGGTAGTTTGCAGTGGCCACTTGATCGTGGTAGGTGCATTCGGAACCGAGAGTAGGTACCGTCGGAACCTCCACAGGAAAGCTCGTTGTGTACTCAATCGCCAGTCGGTCTGCGTCTACAGTCGTGTGATGTTGCTATGAGGCAGGCGGTCAGTTGTATAGTGTTGCCATAGCTACCACGCAGTCACCTCACCTACGTGTGCCTCGAATCGACGTGGAAAAGCGGGGACTGTCAGGTAAAGGTGAGGGCGTTGCTGATATGCAGTCAGTCGCTGTGGCGAAGTGACGCCGGCTTCTATACCCATGTTGACGGCCAGTAGGATGTAGTGCGCACATGAGGCTGGAGATAGACGCTTGCGTGGTTGTTGAACGCGGGTAGATGTCCAGATTGTAGTCATGGAAGGAGCATCCAGTCTGACGTGACACCCGTGGACATCATTGCGCAGTCACGTGTATAGCGCCAACCGACAACTTGGCCTCTTTTCATGCCTGGAATAAAGATGGGGCGCGGACGTCGTGCAATTCTGACACTGCAAGCATTGGCATCATGCACTGACTGTGAAAAACACCAGAAATCTCATTCTATTACCACAATCCTACACCATTATGCAAGAAGAAAAGAAAATGCATCGTACTGATGACGGCGCAGCCGCATATACAACTCCCTAAGAAAACCCCGAGAAGAAATGAAAAGTGGCGTTGCGTCGTTGCACATTACGCGTGAGCGTCATTACATGTATACAAATACCCCAATTGGGCAAGTGACCCATCCAAAACGGAAGGTACGACCCTGACTGAGACCCAGACGGCGGAGAAGGGAAATTAGTAGCGCACCACGGGTGACGCGCTCGTGCTGCCGTCCTGCACCATAACACCTTCCCTGACACCCTCTTTCTCCATCTTGTGCATCCAGTCCTCTTTCTTGTCCTTCTTGTGCATCCAGCCGCTAAAGATCTTCTTCAGTTTGGACTTTTGCTCTTCCCGGCCTGGGGTCTTGGGCTCGTTGGAGAGGGTCTTCCGGGCCGTCGTATCCAGACTCATCTTACGAGAGAAGGTAGATGCCTCGGCACTCTGGTTGCTGGCAGAGTTGCTATCTCCGCTTCGTTGGCGGGTGTGGTTGCTGGAGCCTACTTCGAGGCGCTGGTCTAGATTACTAGTAGAGGACCAGCCAGTCATCGTGTTTCCGGGGTGTGTTGGGCTACCTGGGTTGGTCCTTGTGGGCTGTGAGATGGCCTTGGTCTCCTGTTTGCGAGACGACTTCCGGGCAGGGAATGAATCGTTGAATTGCATGGCCAACGTATCAGATCCGCTCTTCCTGTGTTTCTTTGCGGCGGGAGAACGCTCCTGGTGCTGTTCTTGCGAGCGCATCATGCTTGCAATGTGTGTTGCGGCGGTTGGCGATGTGGGAGATTTCATCGATACTGTTATTTCCTCCTGAGGAGATTCTTGGTGGTCCTTCCATGTGTCCAGACCTGGTAGTGGGGGTAGCTCTCTGTTCAAGTTGAGGCCGTTGGACTCTGACTTCCTGGGCTGAGCTTCCTCCGGTTTTCCTTTCGAGGTTCCTGGTCTGCTGTTGCTTCTTGAACTCAAGCGGCGGGGTATGCCCCAGCTACGCCATCCTGAATTCGAGCCACTGCGTGAGAGACCCTGGTCGTCGTTGTCGGCTGCTGGACGAAGAGACTCTTTGGACTGCGCACGGCTCAGAGCCCGACTGCGAGAGCCTGGGAAGATGTATTCTTTAACGCTTTCCTTGACACTGGCAGCACGACTGGGTGGTCGGACTGAAGTCGATGAGCGACCACGGTGGCCCTCAGATGCTTCTTGCTGCCGCTTCTTCTCCAGCTCTCGACGCATCCATTCTGTGGCTTGTGCGTCTGCAACTGCTGCTGGGTTATCGGATTGGTGGGATAGTCGGTTCATGCTCCTGCTGTAGGGTAAAGATGCTGAGGTAGGCACTGACGACGACATCTTGGCGTTGGCGAGAGTAGATGTGACTGCTACGGGAAGGGTCACGTCTTCGTCCGAGTCATTGTGGAAGACGTTCGATCGCGGTACGTCCATAGAAGTCTTGCCGTATGACCTCAGCTTCTCCTCCCTCTCTGCGTCCCGTTCGTCAAGCCATCCGAAGTCAGCTCGCTTGCGACTGCTATTCGCGCGTGCAGGCATGTCTCCGTAGGTCCTTGCTCTGATCTCCTGGTCCGCCTTCGTGCGTGAGCGCGTCTTGGTGCTGGGTTTGCGCATCATGAATGACGTCGAAGTCGCTGCCAGCTCTGGAGGCGCGCCAGTGGGCATGCGGACAGCGACCTCAGTGGCCTGTGGTTTACTCTCCTTCCGTCGGCCGAGGCCACCAAAGTCGAGCTTGGGGTCGGTGTTCTCCATGCCATGGTCGGACGGCTTGAAGTTTTGCAGGATTTCGCGACATGCTAGGCGCAGTTCCAGATCGGTATGTTCGTCGAGAACGCGGCGGTTGATGTAGGGCGATTGGTCGCATATGCTGTCTTTGGAGGTGTGTCTCTTGTGTGACGAGGAGGGAGCCGGGTCCGGCGCGGGCTTGTCGGAGAGGTCTGGCTTGGAGGCAATCTTCTACATTGGCGGTGAGTTACTGTTGGGATGCGACTGCAGACAAAGGACTGGGGATGGAACGTACGACTGGCGCCAGATTGAAGGAGAACTTGCGTTGCTTCATGATTGATTAGAGTATGCTATATTAGGCCGAAGGCAGTGATTCGAGTAGAGTGCGGCTGCAGAGCGTGTATATGTGCTGCAAGTGCGCGACGAGGAAATGGGTGCGCGCGCGGGAAGCCGGTAGAGTATGGTCGGCTAGGAATGGCTAGACAAAGCTACTGGCGACTACTGCAAGCATGGGGGACCTGGGAGGATATGACGGAAGAATCGTGGTGATGCGCCGTGGGTTGGCCTGCATCGAATAGTGCAGTGCAGCGGGGCCAGGAGGGAAGAACTCCCAGGAAGTACGGGACAGGACGATAGGTATACTGCGCGTCGTGGTGTGCGCCGGCCCGACCAGGAGGTGTTGGAGTTTCAGAGTGGCAGCTAGCATTAGACAGGACGCAGCCGACCACCAGCCTGGAGTCTCGATGCCTCGTAGAATGATAAAGCAGCCAATCAGCCGAGTGGGCGCCTGAAGCCTCGACAGCGGCCAAATCTGCCACTCGTCAATCAAACCCTCTGTCGCCCACCCGCACGCGCCTCCTGAAGACGCCCAACAGCCACAGCCCGCCATGACCTGCCCTCGCAGTCCCTCCAGCCAGCCCTGGACATCGGCGGAAGGAGCGATCGTGTGCCCCTTCCCAGCAGAACCAGACTATCGAAACTTAGCGGCGCTGCGGCCCCACGAATAGCAGCCAAGAAGGGCCGCGGACATGAGCTCGATCCGGCGACCGCATTCCAGATCTCCATACACACGACCGCACTCCATTAAACACGAAGATGCTCCTTTTGCGCCCTGGCCTGCACGCAGCACGCCAATCGCGCTGCGTCCTTTGCTGACATTTTCCTGGCCCAGCGAACGACGGTTGGACATGCGGGGGCGAGTTTCACATCGTAAAACATTCGCCATTCACCCACCACTGCTGCCATGTCCACCGCTGCAATACTGTCCAACCTTTAATAGCAGGGGAGAGAGAAGCTTCCGCCGGCGAGAAGAAACTTCTGTCTGCCGACCCTGGCTGGAAACTTCCGTGAGAATATCCTGGGAATAACCCGACGGGCTATTGTTGTGTTGCCGTAGCGCACTGGCTTCAGGACAGGCCTCTAAACGGTCGCTTCATCCCTCCATTCCTTCTGCGTGAGCCCCCTCATCGTCATGGCATGCGTCATCCAAGCATTTCGTTTTGCGTTTCAGTGCTCCGTTATCATCCACGCTCAACCAAGCTCCAAGTTGCTCAGCCGTCTGGTTTGTGTGCGGGTCCCCTCCATGAAGTGCGTCGGCTAAAACTACCAATACTCGCCGCCCAAGCTACCACAAGATTCGCTCAACTCTCACAAACCCTCGCGGCCTTGTCACTCGCTAGGCGCGCAGATCGCAGATCGCAGGTCCACCTGTTATTGTCGCTAGGGACGGCATCGTGCGACCATGGTGCGAGATCAAAATAAGTCAACACTTAACCACTGCATCGGGTGGGTACATGAGCCTTCAATACCCTAGGCCGGCACCATGCAACGGCCTCACTACCAGTGGGTTAGCACTGCGCGGACACGAATTTCTTCAGCAAGGCTCATTTGATGCCTGGTGCGAGACGTCTAAGCATGCGACTACTGCTGTACGCTTTTCATCACGCACACAATCACGATTCGCGTCAACATTGCCTCAGAGTCTTGGTGTAAAACTTTCAATTCGACGAAATTGCGCGGCGATCCCAGTGATGTTGAAAGTTATTACTG